GCATGCTTGTCCATTTTCCCATTCTTGCCTATTCTGTAATATTCTTCGGACTCAGGCAGACATGGCTGTGGCAGCATGCTTGTCCATTTTCCCATGCTTGCCTATTCTGTAATATTCTTTGGACTCAGGCAGACATTGCTGTGGCAGCATGGCTGTTCGCTTTCCACTTTTGCCCTTCTGCATATATGCCAAATAAGACTTTTTTTTGCTTTGAAATAAATAAATTGCCTCTTGGAAATGTTGAGTTGCATATTTCACCTGTTTTTCTATTGAGGTGTTTGTCTTTTTCTTTTTGAGTTGTAAGAGTTCTTTAGCTACATATACAGATATCTATGTATATTGTACCAAAACCAAAACCTACTGCCGTTGAGTCAATTCTGACTCATAGCAACCCCATAGGACAGAGCAGAGCTGTCTCATAGGGTTTCCAAGGAGCAGCTGGTGGATTTGAACTACCGACCTTTTGGTAAGCAGCCATAGCTCTTAACCACGGCACCACCAGGGCCCATGTGTATTATAGTACGTACTTATATATAGTTAAAAATATGTCTACCCAGTTTGTATCTGTCATTTGTTTTTTAACTTTGTTCATTATATTTTATAAAATGTTTATTATGCAAATAGTATATTAATACACTCTTGATGTGACATATTCAAACAATACAGAAGTATGCACAACAAATATGAAAATTCCCCTTCACTCTTCTACCCTAGAGGTAATCACTGCCAATAGACTGAAGGGCATCCCTTTAGTGGCTTTAGATTCTCTACATACATTTCATAGTCACAGACAGCTTTCCCCCTTTTTTTGCAAAATGGACCATAATGTAGTATTGCTCTATGGAATTTTTTTTTTCATTTAGCAGGATTTTCTGTATATCTTTCCATGCTAACACATAGAGGTCTTCCACTATCTTTTAAAATATTTTCATAGCACAGATCTATCACAATGTATTAACCCACTTTGCATCATGAACATCTAGATTATACCCAAAATAAAGGATTTTTTCATTCATTTATTTATTTTTAGGTTGCCAAAGCTACAACTCTTAATCCTAAAGTTCTGTCTTTGGTGCCATGGCTAAGAGTTTCACCACATCAGTACTTCACCTTTAGTACTTTTATGGTTTTTCATATATACATACATATAACTGACTCCCTTTTAAATTCTCTCCTTAGTTCCACTAACTTTCCAGTTAATTCTCTTGGGTACTCTAGAGGGCAACAATCATATTTCTGCAAATAATGATCATCTGTCTTTTCCTTTCTAATCTTTATGCCTCTCGGCCCTTTCTTTGTTTTGGTTTTTTTCCTCTCTTGGCTAGATGGAGAACACCTATTTAAAAAGCTTGTTTCTGACTTTAATTTGCAATTACACACTGGGGGCAGTGAAGGGAAGTATTGAGCTACTTCAGTCCTACTGTCAAGTGGAAAGAGAGGAAACAGTAGGTTGAATGCCTCTTTCAGAACGAATTCTTTAACTCAGCCAAAGTGGCACAGTGTGCTTTGTGGGGTCATGGTGGACTCAGGAGAAGGCTCACATGGTGGGGAGATTTGTTACACAGAGGGGGATTGAGCAAGTGAGTGAACATATTGAGGATCCTGAAAGACAGTTTTCTCCTAGAGAAAGGAATTGCAAATATGGAAAGGGGGAATTCACTGCCGTCAAGTTGATTTCAACTCAGGCAACCCCGTGTGTTACAGAGTAGAACTGCTCCATAGGGTTTTCTTGGCTGCAATCTTTATGGAAGCAGACCACCAGGCCTATCTTCCCAGTGCCTCCGGGTGAGTCCAAACTGCCAACCCTTAGGTTAGTAATGGAGCACAGACCATTTGAGACACTCGGGGATCTTTGGAAAGGGGGAAGGTTAGAATAAATCCTGTGGTGTTGGATTAGAATAGAAGGAATTGGTGTGAGCTAGCAAACAAATCTGTCTTGGAAGAAGTGCAGCCAGAATGTTCCTTAGAAGCAAAGATGGCGATAGTTTGTCTCACATACTTTGGACATTTTATCAGGATGAACCAGTCCCTGGGGAGAAGGACATCATGCTTGGTAAAGCAGATGGTCAACAAAAAAGAGGAAGACTCTCAGCAAGATGGACTGACACAGTGGCTGTAACAATGGGCTCAAGCATAACAATGATTGTGAGGATGGCACAGGACCGGGAAGTGTTTCGTTCTGTTGTACATAGGGTGGCTATGAGTCAGAACCAACTCAAGGGCACCTAACAACAACGACAATGGGCTTTAATATACATACCGTATTTTTATGCAAATAACATGCACTTTGTATGTTTGTTTGCCAGTCATGCCCTCCCCCACCCTGCAAGGTATTTTTGTAAGCCACTATGCTAATTTTTTTACGACAACATGTTAAAAAAATTAGCAAAGCGGCACATGAAAATACCTCATTGGGGGAAGATGAAGTTGGCAAACAAATGTAAGAAGGTGAAGGTTATTTGGGTAAAAATATGGTAGATAGATTCATCTAGAAATAACTATAAATATATGTGTGCATACATTTATAGACATATATACAAATATTGTGTGTATGAATATACATACTGTTACAGATTAAATGGTGTCTCCCAAAAAGATATGTTGAAGTCCTAACTCCTGGTATCTATGAACATAAGCTTGTTTGGAAATAGGGTCTTTGGAGATGTTATCCCTTAAGTTAACATGAGGTCATAATGGAGTGGGGTGGGTCCTAATCCCATCTGAGTTCCGTTCCCATTGTTTCCATTGAGTCAATTCCGACTCATAGCAAACCTACAGGACAGAGTAGAACCGCCCTATAGGGTTTCCAAAGAGCTGCTGGTGGATTCAAACTGCCAGCTTTTTGGTTAGCAGCTGTAGCTCACCGTAGCTCTTAACCACTGCACCACCAGCACTCCACCATCTGAGTAGTGTCCTTATAAATGAGGAGGAAAGACAGACAGAAGAAAGACAGCCAAGTGACTGTGGAGTTATGCTGCAGCTGTGAACTACGGAATGCCTGGGGCTACCGGAAGCTGAGAGAGATAAGGAAAGATCTTCCCCTAGAGCCTTTGAAGCGAGCTCTGCCCTGTTCTTTCCACTTTGGCCCCTTGGTGAGAATTTGCCTTTCCACCCCAGATAATCTGAATCAGAATCTACATTTTAACAAGATCCCCAGTGGACAGATAAAGAATCACCTTGATTCTTGGAAAGGCAAATTCTCAGCAGGGAATCTAACCAGAAAGAACCAGTTTGAAACCTGCTGCCAACATCCTGAATTCAGACTACTGGCCTCTGGTTCTGTGATACCATAAACTTCTGTTGTTTTAAGCCACCCACTTTGCAGTGCCTCTTCTGGCAGCCCTGGGGAACTATTTACCAGTTGTACCAGTTGCTGTTGAGTCGATTCCGCCTCATGGCGAGCCCATATGTGTCAGAGTAGAACTGTGCTCCCTAGGGTTTTCAACGACTGATTTTTCAGCCTTAGATCACCAGGACTTTCTTCCAAGGCGCCTCTTGCATGAACTGAAACCTCCAACTTTTCGGTTAGGAGCCCAGCATGTTAACCGTTTGCACCCCCCAGGAACTCCAGGAAACTAATATACATATATTCCCCAGCTCTGACACTGAGATGCCCAAAGGCAACAATAACCCAGTAGCAATGAGCACACCTACTGCCCAGATCTGGGTTTCTAACTACCATTTCCCACTAAAAGGAGCCAGATCAAACACCTCCAGGACCTATATTCCCTATGGTTAAATAATCACCAGCTCCAAGATATCTACATCTGGTCCCTCATTTTACAGATGAGGACACTGAAACCCTAATTTTTTTTTTCTTTTCCTTTGGTATTGGTTTTCATGAAAGTACAGGAGAAAAAAAATCATGTAATATCAATGTAGAGTTTCCCACAATGGCCCTCTGAAGATGGGTAGTAGGAATCATATTTCGTTCTGTCTTTCCAGCTAGAAAATCAAAGCGCAGGAGACTATACCTGTACTAAGAAAAGAATCAAGAACTGAGGTCTCATTTTCTGACTTACAAGGTAGAGACCACTTGGCTGCACAGCTGAAGGCTGCACATTATTAGCTCTTTGTATGCCAAACCAGCATTTCTGTCTGAGTTCCCAAGCAGACATCTCCAACATCCTATCGGTATATGAGTTCTTCACAACAGATACCATGACCCCAGCCCCCTGTGATACAGAGAAAGCATTCCTCTGCTTGAAAAGGCAGTTCAGTACTTATATTTCTTTCTTTTTTTTAATTTAATTTTTTTAGTAGAACTGCCCCATAGAGTTCTTTTTTCTTTCTTTTTTTTAAATTGTGCTTTAGATGAAGGTTTACAGAGCAAATTAGTTTCTTATAAAACAATTAACACACATATTGTTTTGTGACATTGGCTGCACATTTCTTTTTTAATTGCGGTAAAATATGTATAACATAAAAGTTGCCATTGTAACTGTTTTTAAGGGTACGTTTCAGTGGCATTAATTTTATTCACAATGTTGTACAACCATCCCATTTGTTTCCAAAACCTTTTCAATACCCCAAACTCTGTACAGAAACCCTGGTGGAGCAGTGGTTAAGAGCTCAACTACTAACCAAAAGGTCGGCAGTTTGAAACCACCAGGCGCTCCTTGGAAACTCTATGGGGCAGCTCTACTCTGTTCTATAGGGTCACTATGAGTTGGAATCGACTCAATGGCAATGGGTTTTAATGGATAAACTCTGTACACACCAAGCTTTAACCACCCATTCCTCCCTCCCCCCACCGCTGGTGTCCACTCATCTACTTTCTGTCTCTGCATTGGCCTGTTCCAGATATTTCACATCAGTGGGTCTTAGAATACTTGTCCTGCGTGTCTGGCTTCTCTCACTCAGCATTGTGTTCTCCAGGTTGGGCACTTACGTTTTTAATGATCAGTGGGTATCTTGTCACTCGCTGCATGGGCTTCAGTATGAAGCTAGAGAGCGGCATCCCTTTACATCGAGGGTCCATTGCCAACCTCTGAAATATGAGATTAGAAACACATAGTTCAGAAATCTGCAAAACCCAGCCAGTGACATCGACACTGATGTCATTTGAGACACCCCACCAGTTCTCTTACTAATCTGAACAACAACCAGGGCTGGAAGGCCCTGACAAGTTATCCTGGTCCAGGGCGAGGCTCTTGCCAGATGGGGAAGGGGAGACAAGATGTGACTCGCCCTCCCAGGTTAAACCTGGCTCTCCAGATTCCCGATGCAGCATACCTGCCACGTACATGTGGTTCCTTATGTACAGAGATGAGAGGCTGGCTTTACAGAGGATCTTTCTTCCGGATATCTGCAAAGCCTCTGTTAACATCACCAGGAACAAGAAGAATCCCAGTACTACACACTCAGAGTGAAAAGTTCCCTCCAGCGCTGCAGATTTTGGATGGGGCTGAACCTCACTGTCCTGCTCCAGGTGGGGGCTGCCTGCACTTCTGGGAGCTCTTGGCGGGGCGAGGAGAGCAGAGGCAAGGAGTTGCATCACAGCCTGCAACCTCTGTGTTCTGCACCTCTGTCTTCCCATCACGTTTACCAATTCTGTCAACTGGTCTGGAGGACAAGAGTCCATCCACCCCCAAACTGTGAGCCCTGTCGACAAGACATAGGGATTCTAAGGTGACTTTGCCCCCAAAGAAATACAACCAGGATGCTCTCTGGAAGTGAGGATGGCGAGACTTCAGCCCGCTGGCTTACTCTGGACAAGCCATCAGGAAAGACCAGTGGCTAGAGAAGGACATCATGGTTGGTGAAGCAGAGGGTCAGGGAAGCAAAGGAAGCCCTCAACGAGATGAACTGGCATAATGGCTGCAACAATGGACTCAAAAACATCCACGATCACGGGATGGCGCAGGACCCACCACCGTTTCATCTGTTACATGTAAGGTCACCGTGAGTCCAACGACAGCCGCCTCTCAAAGGCGCTGGTCAGGCTACTGTCTGAGAAACCAGCAGCTGCCGTGAGCTGGACACGGAGCCCCGCGCACTGTCAGCGCCTGGACTGGCTTCAGCCGTGAACATCATTCCAGGACCCCTCACAGCTGGCAAAGTGTGTCAGACTCCCGCTGGGGTGACAGAGGGAAAGCTGGAGAGCACGGAAGGGAGGAACAACAAGCCCCCACCCCGACCCCAATCTGGGCCGCTGTCAGCATTTCTCCCAAGTTCAAGTGCGTCCTATGATGAGCTCGTCCTGGCTGGGCCGGGGGACGACCTGGCCCTTGGCTGAACTCCAGACCAGCACCTGCTCCAGCCTCTGTCCACCCCAGACCTACCTCACAGCAACATTTCTCATCTTGGAACGACCTTAGAATGCCCCACTCATTGAGTGGCCAATCTGCACACTTGCTGTTGAGGATCACCGGGCAGTGGGGTGGGGAGGAGGGTGAGCATGTATGATGACCAAGAAGAGGCCACACTTTGAACTCACCATCATGGTCCACAAACGCGACTGCTGGGGGTGGGGGCTGAGGTGCCCTGTCCCCAAAGTGCGTGAGGCTCAAAGAAAAGTCTAGCTTTTTAAAAAATTATTATTACTATTTTGCTGTTTATCCAGTTAAAAAATGCACCTGCTTCGTGAAAGTCATTTTATTCTCTTCCTGTTTTTCCCTCCAGAAGAGGTGGGGCTGTTTGAGCCATCAGGGAGCCACTCTGGTCACGACCACTGCCCAGGGCTGCAGGCCGAGGGCCTAGGTCTCCAGCAGCATTGGGCCCACCTTTCCAATGTCCCCTAGGGGCACAGTTCAGCCCATTCTCCTCCGACGTAGAGGTTCTGGCAATCCACACACCTCATCAGCTGCCTGGAGCTTGAACCCATCACCCAGAGCCAATTGGGAGAGGAACGAGGGGTCTATCCCTCTGCAGATGAAGGGCAGATACCAGCAAAGAACTGAGGGCCCTGAGATTAAAGAGAACCCTGGGACCCACCAACCCTCCTGGGCCTGGCAACTGAGATGGAAGGTTTCAACAGGCTTCCAAATAAACCGTCAGCCCGCTGCTGTTAAGTTGACTCCAGCTCATGGCGGCCCCATGTGTGTCAGAGTACAACTGTGCTCCATAGGGTTTTCAGTGGCTGATTTTTCAGAAGTAGATTGCCAAGCCTTTCTTCCAAGGCACCTCTGGTGGACTCCAACCTCCAACCTTTCAGTTCCCAGCCAAGCGTTTTAACCATTTGTACCAGGGACTCTAAATAAACCTCTGACACCTGGAAAACAGATCCCTGAAGAGACTTCAAAGCTTCCAGGTGCTGCAGGGCTGACGGGTGCTCTCCAAATTCACCTCCGTGGCCACAGCTACACCCAAAAGCTAGCACCAGCCCCCTGGGGTTTAGCCAGGACCTCGATCCTGGTTGGCCTTTGATGTGAACGTGGTTGCAGGGTCTGCCCCTCTGCGCCCCCTCCCCCCAGGGGAACAGGCTCAGCCTGGCCTCCTCACTTTGACAAAATCCTTGAAGTCTGGGGCCTCGTCTGTCTTCTGCTGGATCAGGGCCGCGCCATTGAGCTGGCAGCTGCAGAAGCGGATGTATGGCTGCATGTGCGGCAGCTGGGCGCTCAGGATGTCTCCAATCATCTTCACGGGCATTTTCTCCCCAGACATCTTCTTGCGGACCCTCAGTGCCCTGCATGAAAACAGAAGAAGTCAGCCCCTGCCTTCCTGCTCGTTCCTAGCAGCAGGCGCATTTCTAGTTTGCACAGAATCAGAATGAGTTTGAGGGGGTGCAAACCAGAGGGTCACTACAGGATCTATTTGGAAGACGAGGGACGGAAAAAGAAATGAGTCTACTGCTACAGAGGGAGATCACCCGGCCATTTTTCCTGGGCATGGTTGCTGTGTGCCCGCTCTTAGGAATAAAAACTAGTTTTAGAAAAAAATCTTTGCCCATCAAGTCAACATAAATCCAATTTGTTTCTTTATGGAGAAATGGAATCCTTTCTTTAATGACTCAGACAGGGTCCCTGTGTGGGCGTTTCACTTTACAGAGTACCTGCGATGGAAGCCCCGAGCACTGAGCCTGTTTCTGAGGCCACTGCCACCCAGGAGAAGTTGGTGTTTCCAGGGGACAAGGAGGATCGTTTTCAGACAAAAGAGAAACAGTCTCATGTGTGATGGTTAAGGTTATGTGTCAACTTGGCTAGGGCACGATTCTCAGTGGTTAGCAGATATTCTGTAGTCATCTTCTCATTATGTGATCTGAGGTGAGCAGCCAATCAGTTGAAAGGGGAGTTTCCTTGGGGGTGTGGCCTGCATCTAATACATATGGATGTTCTGGCAAAGCTCGCTCTCTCTCGATTCTGTATCTGACTTGTCATCCTCTGTCCTCCGGTTCTTGGGACATGAGCCAGCAGCCTACTGCCTGACCGGCCAGTTCTGGGTTCCTTGGTCCCTGTAACCACATGAGTCAGGAGAAGCCTCCAGACTGACACCTGACCCACGGATTTGGGATTTGCCAGCCTCCACAACTGCATGAGCCACTTCCTTGAAATAAATCTCTCTCCCTATATTTATATATATATACCCTTCACTGGTTTTGCTCCTCTAGACAGCCCAGCCTAAGACACCATATGTTCACCAAAGCCAAGGAGAAATGATTGTTTGAACTGTCTGTGTCCTTTACTGTCTGTGCGAAATAAACTGGATTTAGAGCAAGCTTGGCAGTTCTGAAAAGAGACATCTATTATCTATACACCAATCATGATAATGAGCCAATGAACCCAAGCTGTTTATATTCTGGAAGCCAAGAAGAGGCATTGTCGAGACTGGGAAATGTTTATTCTGGGGTCCAGTTGCAGTCCAAGTGTTCAGGGCCATGATAACAAGGTCTTTGCACCCCACTTTCCAAGTTCCGGTATGTCAAGTTCTAACACCTGAAAGGAGGGAAGCTGAGCTTCCACGTGGCAAGGACTGCAATATACTATGAGGGCAGGACCACAACATCTGAGGCCACAAGCGTGTTCTGGCTTCACTAGTGATCACAGAAAGCCCTCAAGAAATATCTGTGGGGTGGACGGGCAGGTGGAACAGAGTGGTGTGGTACATGATTTTAACATAAGGCTGGCAGGAGGCCACTATGAATTCTTTTGGCCACTTTGATGTCGTGTTGGAGAAGTTCTTGAGGTATGGGTAAACCAGCTGCCTTTGAGTCGATTCCAAGTCGAGGTGACCCACGTGTGTCAGGTAGAACTGTGCTCCATAGGGATTAAATGGGCACACCAGCCCAGGGGCAAGGACGAGAAGGCAGGAGGGGACAAGACAGCTGGTAATGGGGAACCCAAGGTCGAAAAGGGGAGAGTGTTGACACGTCATGGGGTTGGTAACCAATGTCACAAAAAAATATGTGTATTGATCGTTTAATGAGAAGGTAGTTTGCTCTGTAAACTTTCATCTAAAGTACAATAAAATTCAAAAAACTGTGCTCTGTAGGGTTTTCAATGGCTGGTTTTTCGGAAGTAGATCACAAGGCCTTTCTTCTGAGGAGCCTCTGGGTGGACTCAAACTGCCAGCCTTGTGGTTAGCAGCTGAGCACGTTAACTGTTTGCACCACCCAGGGACTCGGGTAGGGCTATATAATTCCAAGGAGGCTCTGTGATATTAGCACTAGGCTTTAAAAACTTCAGATCACTTTATTTTCTTTCTTCTGTATTTTTCAGTAATGAGAAATCACTTGGGCTGGGCAAGCCAACGGGTGGAAATGCTGTAGGTCAGTAAATTATGTGGAACAAGCAGGGATGCCACCTCAAGTGGCTGTCCTTGTAGGGCGAGGCGCCACTCAGCACTTCTGTGGGCGCGGTCCCCTAGGGAACGGCTACTGGGAAGGGCTGTGAAATCAGTGTGGGGCAGGGCACTGGCCACATGCCCACTGGGGGACTGGTGTGGAACATTCCCCAATATGCAGGAATTTGCTCAAGGGTTTTGAGGGGATGAGAGCCCTGAATAACCATGTCCCAAACTTGCTGTGGAGGAAACAGGAAGGAATCCCATCATTCCAGCAGTTTCCGTGTCCGAAAGGGAATAAAAGCCCTTCCACCTTTGTTGTTGTTGTTTTAATAATGAGGGAAACAACAAAAATGAAAAAGAACGATCGCACGCAGCTCATCCTTGTCTTGGGGAAGTTAAACCCGTTTCTGGGTTCTGAGGCTCACGCCTGTACACCTCAATTATTTAACCAGGAGGCGATTTGAAGTCAGTCCCTCTGAGGGGATCAGAGTCCCTGGGTGGTGCAAACAGTTAATGTGCTCGGCTGCTCACCAAAAGGTTGGCGTTTGAGTCCACCCAGAGGTGCCTGGGAGGAAAGGCCTGGTGAGCCATTGCAAACCCTGTGAAGCACAGGTCTACCCCGACACACGTGGGCCGTGAGACAAAGCTGACTCCTGGTAACTCAGTTGCACTGGTGCATATCCTTCTGGAATGTTCTACTGCCGGGGCAAGACTGAGGGGGACTGGGCCTAAAATCAGGGTTTGAGCAGGAGTGCCACCAGGTCCAGGGGTCACGTGGCTCGGTTATTGCAGCCGCAGCCCTGAGAGGACTCTTCCCTTTGGTGAGCTGACTTGTAGCCCCACAGAAAGGTTTAAACAGTAATTCATCCACTAACGGACATTCAGAGAGTGCTCACTGTCTGGTGAACGAATGCGTGTTCACAACGCTCTGGATTCTGCAGACCAAAACTAAAAACTAAACCAATGCCATCGAGTTGATTCCGACTCATAATGACCCTATAGGACAGAGCAGAACTGCCCCATAGGGTTTCCAAGGAGCAGCTGGTGGATTCGAACTGCCGACCTTTTGGTTAGCTGCCGAGCTCTTAACCACTGTGCCCCCAGGGCTCTCTGCAGACCAAGGGGACAGTCATAAGCTAGTGCTTACTCACACCTCTTCCGTTCAAACAGGTCTTACGTTACTTACTGGCCCCATTAACTGTTGAGGAAACTGAGGCACACTGAAATTGAGTGACCTGACCAAAGTCACACACAGTGACAGAGGCGGGGCTTGAACCCCAGCAGTCCGACTCCAGAACTGTGGTTTGTAAGGACCCTGGGACAATAAGGCACGGACCCCCAGATCCACCTTCCCACCTGGCGCCGTCTGGGCCCGCCCCTGGCCCTCCTGCTCCCGTGCCCCCTCTGCAGCTTCGCCCCTGGCCTTGCTTTCTCTCCATTTCTCCAGCTTTCTCTTTTTGTCTCTTCCCCTCCCTGCCTCCAGCCTAAAATTTCTTTTCTTCTTCTTGCTCCCCATCCTGTGTTTGCCACCTAAGATGGACTTTTTAGCTTTTGTTTTATGTTTAGACAAAATAAAATTGTGTTCATTCTCCTTAAGTTAAAAAGAAGGTAAGTTGAATACTTTATATTTAAGAAAAATACTTTTTTTTAAAGAGGATCTTTCATTTATTTGGTTTTTTCTTTTCCCTCAGCAAAGGGCAGGAAAGGACCTTGATAAAAAGGCAGTCCCCAACGTGAGTTTGCACAGCCCTGCCTCATTTGTGCCATCCCTCTGCCAGCTGCCCTTAAAAAGGCTCTGGATCTTTCTGCCCCAGCCTGCCTATTAAGAGCACGTCTCAGCTCTTGGCTCACCAGCAAGAAGAGAGCCAGCCATTGCACTAACACCCAACCAGACGCATCATTAGTAGGAGGTCTGTTTGTCCCAGCTAGTCCCCTTTAAGTCTCAAAGCTGTCATAGTTGGTTTTATAAACCCTTTTGTTGTTAGCTGCGGTCAGCCCCCGACTCATGGTGACCCCACGGACAACGAAATGAATCGCGGCCCAGTCCTGCAGCATCCCCATGATCGGCTGCCGACGGGACCATTGTGATTCATAGGGTTTTCACTGGCTGATCTTCAGAACTAGACCGCCAGGCCTTTCTTCTTAGTCCATCTTAGTCTAGAATCTCTGCTGAAACCTGTTCGGCATCCTAGCAACAATGCAAGCCTCCACCAAAGGTGGGTGACAGCTGTACATGAGGTGCATTGGCTGGGAATGGAACCCGGGTCTCTGGCATAGAAGGCGAGAACTCTACCACAGAACCACCCCGTCCCCTGTGATAAATCCTAGGGTCCCATAAGCACGAAGGTGGCTGGACCCTGGGATTCCGGGGAACGTTGCCTTCAATTCTCCTTATCCAAAAACGCCTCCCTCTTCCAGCCTGCCGGGGACCTGAGCTTTTCCTTGCACTGGAGACGCTCCTGAGCGTGAAGAAATACTGTCCATGTGACCAGGTAAATACAGCAGAATGTTCACTGCAGAATCTGCATCGGGCATGTGGGTATTCACGCTCCTGCTCTTTGCATGTTTCTGTATGTCTGAAATCTTCATAAAATGTTGGAAAGAGGAAACAGGAGTCAGTCTCCCGAGAGCTCCTGTTAAATACAAATATTTGTCTGGAAGATGCAAACATCAGCCAGTTAGCCCCAACTGGTGATCAGAGGGACTGGGCCGTAGACCAGGGACACTGAGATGGGGGACGGGTTGATAACGACTGGCACATTTAGACCACGATTGACAGCGTGAGAATCATCCACCTGACCCCCTTTGCTCCTCTGAAGACGCCACCTGGTGAGCAGGGCAGGTACAATTACTGCAGTTCAGCTTCTCAAACAAAAGAGCCGGAACCTGGGCAAACACTTGGGATGTCTGACTCCTGACTCCGTGTTCTTTCCATCAGGGCACAACTAGGTGGAGCCCCCAGTGGGACCTGGGTGTCACCCACCCATCATCCTGGGTGCCCCGTCACCCACTGAGCAACTTCAGGCAAGTCACTCAACCTCGCTGAGCTTCTTTGTGAGCTGGAACATGTGGAGCCCTGACAGTGCTCAGGAAAGGGGATTGTCTTCCTTGCTGAGGGGGAGGAAGGAGGACTGGACGGGAGAACGGGGCGGGGGATGGGGGCTGAGGTCAGCATCACAGGCTCCCTCAGGCCAGCCAAGATGAGGGGAGGCCAGCCCCACAGATGGGCTGCAGGCTCTTTGAAGTCCCAGATACATCTCCCACCCCCACCACGGAAGCCACCCAAGGAAAGAGATTTTAACTTCTAGGTGTGTTTTCAACAGAAAACTTTCATTTCTATTGTGTCTCCAACAGTTCAGGTTCAGTACCTGTAGGTTCAAAACCAAAAAAACAAACCCATTGCCGTCGAGTTGATCCCGACTCACAGTGACCCTACAGGACAGAGCAGAACTGCCCCAGAAGGTTCCCAAGACTGGACAATCTTCACGGAAGCAGACGGCCACATCTTTCTCCCGCGGAGCGGCAGGTACCCTCAAACCTCCAACCTGGTTGGCAGCAGAGCGCTTAACCACTGTGCCACTAGGGCTCCCTTGCAGGTTCGGGGGCTAACCTGCCCCTTTCCCCCAGGTGGCAGGGCAGTCTCTCCCCAAGGCAAGGGTCGGAGTTCAGCCTCTACCACCCGGTGGCCAGGGCCCACCCCAGCCCTCACTATGTACCAGGCTCTTGCTTAAAGGCACCCCCGTAACAACCCTTTGTGGTAGGTACTGTCATTCCCATTTTACAGATGAGGACACTCAGGCCCAGGGAAGGTAAAGTCACACAGCGCGGGGCCAGACCTATGCTCAGAATTCCTCCTTGAGGAGGACAGTGGGAAACGCTTTCTCTAAAAACCCAGCCTGGACTCTTCGAAGACGTGCACTCTACAGCATGACACACACATACGCGTCACGCAGAGACCAGAACTTATGTTTTTTCTTCATGCCCCCCTCTCCGCACCTCCTCTCTCCCATCCCTTTATCCACTCTCCGACACCCAGGAAAGAGGGGACTTGAAATTATGTATAAGAACAACGCGGGGACCACAGTCAGGAAAGATACTGGTCACTTCCCGTTACAGGAACGCAGAGATTAGGGATGGAGGCAGTTCTGGGGAGGTCCCTTCCACTCTGTGCCCAGGGAGGGGTGGAGCCCTCTTCCGGTGGGAACTGGGGGATGGTAGGTGCTTTATCCCATGTGCCCTGAAGGCCATGAGTTAGCTAGGTGCTAGCAAGTGATGCTAAAATGAGGGCCTGGTGGGAAAAAAAAACCAAACCCATTGCTGTGGCGTCGATTCCAACTCATAGCGACCCAGTAGGACAGGGTAGAGCTGCCCCATAGGGTTTCCCAGGCTGTAATCTTTATAGAAGCAGACTGCCACATCTTTCTCCCGCAGAGCAGCTGGTGGGTTCAAAGCGCCAACCTTGCAGTTAGCAACCGAGCGCTTAACCACTGCGCCATCATGGCGATCTCTCTCTCTATATATATACACACATAGAGATATAAGAATTGCAAGAGACCATTGTGATAATCTAATCCAACCTCCTCATTTCACAGACGGGGAAAACGAGGCTCAAAGAGGCGGGGCAGTGAATGGCAGAGCTGGGACCCAAACCCAGATTCCTGGCCCAGTGCCCTCTCCCGGGCCCTGCAGCTGCCCCCATGAACAAACATAGGAGTAAAGTACAACGACTCCAGGCCAGCTTCTCAGAGGCTTTATCCTGACTTAACCACAGCTGACTTAGGCAGTGAGCGGTTCACCTTGATCCATGCGTGGGAGCCAAGGGTGTCACCAGTGAACCAGGCTCACAGGAAGGCAGGTCTGCGTGGGAGGCGTGGGGCTGCACCGTGCCTGGGATGTAGCCTGCCAGGCACCTGGGGTCAGGACTGGCCCAGCTTTGGAAATTCTAGAACCACAGTGACAGCAGGCACAGGGCTGCCTGGGCAAGTTACTCTCCGCAGTGAGGAGTTTGGGGCGCGTTTCTGGAAAGCATCCGGGCAAAAAAAGGGTGATGGCGCTAGTGAGTGGAAATGAGCAAAAGAGGCAGAAAGAGACACAGGGAGCATGCGAGGGGGACACACGGACCACACGATGGATGTGGAAGCACGCAGAGCAAAGCTTGGCTGGTATTAGAGAAGAGACGCTTACTTCAGTAGTTTGATATTACACATAATCAGCTCCTTCCAGTTAACAAAAATCATAGCCACCTCTTTTTCTGTCAGCAGTTCAGAGTCCATCAGGGGTTTCTGAAAGATCTACAGATGCAGAAAACGAAGCAGTTCAGAAAGCAAACAGTTAGCTTAAAACTCAAACACATGCGCACACATCGATCTGATCAGAGCAACAGAAAGACTTCGGGGTCTGCAGCTTGCTGGGAGGCCCACAAGCTGAAAGCTCCCCCTACTTGCAGAGGTTCTGAGATGTGGCCCTCTGCCTGGGGTGGGGCCCCCCAAGAGGTGTGCATGGTTTTACGAGGAAGCCAGCTGAACTCTCTAGAGGATGGGCGTTAACTCTGCCTATCCACAGCTGGGAGGCTTGTGCAAGGTGCTGGGGGTTCATCCATTCTCCCTGCAGCCTCTGCCACACAGACAAGCCTCGGGTGTTCTGGGGTGAAGCCCCTTGCAGTGGGGTCCTCGATGGAGCAGCACTTCCCAGCAGGCGCCTCCTTGGTGACTGACTCCATCACTCTGCCCGCAGCCCCTTAGGCTGGGGCCCTAGGTAGACCCCACCCATTACAAGGGGTGAGGCTGGTTCCTCTCCCTGAAATCAGTGACCCCTTCCAGAACCTGGTGTGGGGGTGTAACTCACAGTAAATCACAGATCTGGGGGGTACCCTATGCAAATGGGCCCCCTGGGTCCAGGGAGGTCACTGTCTAACATTGGAGGCAGGAGGTTTTCCAGAAGGTTCTTTAGGGATGGGTTCTTTGAAACAAGTCTTGGCCAGGGTGAGGCTGACCCCTGGGAGCACGAGCCAATAAACTGATGTTGGGCCTGGATATAACAGGGCCACCATGTACGGCTGTGCTTTCTGCGCACTGCACAAAGGCGCCATGTCCAAGGGAGGACACTCACAGCCAAGACATCCTGGACGGTGTGTTTTATGGCCGTCGGATGTCTTGAGAAGGGGCACCCTTTTCCAATCTGCATCAACACTTCTTACGCGCGCATGGCGGCCTTGTGGGCCACCAACCTCTTAGCTGGTACTCACCCGACCGTGGAGAGCCCAGCCCACATCTTTCCTGGTTTTTAAGAATATCAGAAAAAATGGTTTCACGACTGTTTGTTTTTTGGGGGGGAGGGGCATGGTCCACGCTATCACAGGACTTTTCAAGTTGTAGGGTGACCCTAAGGTCTGGCTTTGCACGCTCTTGTCTCCCAACATGGCCACTTCCCATAGGGACTAAAGGCTTCCTGAGAAACAGGGGTGTCCAACTCAGCATCTCACTGTCCTTCTGTACAGGGTGGCCAAGGCACTTCAACCACTACCTGGAGGTCAGACAACATGAGGCACCAGCCAGGTCCAGGGGATCATGGGGCACCTGGGAGAAAACACCGTCATTCTCAGGGGTAACACGTAGCCTTGGGAAGAATGAAATTTTAGCTGGATGGGCACCATTTTCAGATGCCGATATTGAGGGCCTGGGAGAAGAGGGGACTTGTTCTATGGCACTAACTCATTGGTGGCTGAGCTGTAACTTCTCTGACCAGATTCTGGGTTCCCAATTCTCAGTCCCGCACGTCTCCTTCCAAGAAACTCCTTAGGGGCTCATTTACCACCTGGCACAAATGACCTCTACCTCTTTGCGGGTATGACTCAGAGTTGGCTGAGGATGAGAACTGAACCATCTTCTCTTGGGTAAGAATCTCCTGCGTAATTTGACGTCCAGATGCTCGCCCACATCAGAAAGTTTCTCAGGCTCAGAATGAGATGCAGGACTCCTTTGCAGAGGACCTCCATTCCTCTCCGCCCCCTGCCAGTGCCCCCCAACCCCCACAACTGCCTTTACCTCTGTGACCAGCTGCAGGTCATTGACGTAGTTCTCCTCTGTGACAATGAGTTCGTGGATGTACCCTTGTCGCTTTCTTTCTGTTGGGGTCAACATATCCAAGAGATGTAAGTCTGAACACCCTGGAAAACACAACCATTGGGGACAATTTAGTCCAAGTCTGGGGAAGCCCACACAAATTCAGGCTGAAGATCCGCCCGGGCCTCAGGGCTGCTGGGCCCTGTGACCTCACTCCAGATGGACGGCACACACCCGCTCCATCAAAAGCACTAAAGCGACGTATGTTGAGAGAGAAGACTTAATTAACGATTGGCCGCCACTTCCTGACAGTTCACACCCTGCCAGGCACTGTGCTCTACACAGACGACTGTGTTCAATGAATGCTCTAAAAAACAAACAACCAAACCCATTGCCATCAAGTCGATTCCGACTCAAAGCGACCCTACAGGACAGAGTAGAACTGCCCCACAGGGTTTCCAAGGAGTAGAACTGCCCCATACGGTTTCCAAGGAGCACTTGGTGGATTCGAACTACCAACCTTTTGGTTAGCAGCCGAACTCTTAACCATTACACCACCAGGGTTTCCACAGATACTACAGCTAACCCCATTTTACGGGCAAGGAAACTGAGGCTTACTCAGTGAGAGGCTGACTCACCGAAGTTCTCTCAGCTGGTGGTGAAACCGAGTTGAACCCAGAGAGTCTGACGCAGAGATGAGGCCCTAGACCACTATTGTTGGTTATCCTGAGGTTGATTTCATTTTTCAATAATTTATTTTACTTTATGTTGTTGTTGGAGGAGCCCTGGTGGCGCAGTGGTTAAGCACTCAGCCACTAACCGTAAGGTCAGCGGTTTGAACCCGCCAGCTGCTCCGCAGGCCAAAGATGTGGCAGTCTGCTTCTGTAAAGATTTATAGCCTCGGAAACCCTATGGGGCAGTTCTACTCAGTCCTATAGAGTCACTGTGAGTTGGAATCAACTCAATGGCAATGGGTTTTGTTTTTTTGGGGGGGTTTTATATTGTTGTTGAAAATGTACACAGCCGAACATACACCAATTCAACAATTTCTTCATGTACAATTTAGTGACATTGATTACATTCTTTGAGTTGTGCAGCCATTCTCACCCACCCTTTCCAAATTGTTCCTCCCCCATTAACATAAACTCACTGCCCCCTAAGCTTCCTATCTAACCTTTCGAGTTGCTGTTGTCAATTTGATCCTATATAGATAGTTCTTTAAATGAGCATAATGTTCAAGGCAGACATTCTTTACTAGTTAAGCTTAACTATTATTTGGTTTTAAGAAGACTTCAGGGGATATTTTTGGTTTAAACTTTAAGGATCATCTCAGAGTGATGGTTTTGGGGGTTTATCCAGCCTCTATGGCTCCAGAAAGTCTGGATTCCATGAGAATTTCTTGAGTTTGGTTTTTGTAGGAAGAGGTGGCTGTGCTGAGGCTCCTGATAGGAATGGGGGCCAAGCAGATGCTGGGCACATCCCAACTATGATGGGCAAACTCTCCTGGCCAAGGCCCACTGCCCCACCCCTGTGAATCAGAGCAACAAGACTCCAGGTAGACAGGGAACATTCTCCACCTGCAGACTGCCTGGCACAGGACCACCTCCTGGGCCACAAGTGCCAGGATCCTTGCTCACCCCAGGGAACAGGGCTCTCCGACGTTGACCCGAGATGGTACAGACAGGCACAGGAGGTGGTGCCCGCCCCTAACTCCGCTCACTTCACTTGTTATTTGGGGTTTTGTTTACCTCAAATGTTCTTCTGGGTTATTGGCAGAGGCTTCCCCATGACACAGGCACAAAGTTTGAGAAGCTTGCTTTGGGATACTGGGGGCTTTTCATGGAGTTATCTTGGCTTATGACTGACCTAGTCTATATGCCGGAAGCTTCTGCAAATAGAATGTTGTTAGTTGCTGTCAAGTTGATTCTGACCTGTGGTCACCCCGTGTGTGCAGAGCTGAACGGCTCCAAAGGGTTTTCAAGGCTGTGACCTTTTGGAGGTAGATCTCCAGGCCTTTCTTCTGAGGTGCCGGTGGGTGGGTTGGAACTGCTAACATTTCAGCTAGTAGTTGAGCACTTAACCGTTTGTGACACCAAGGGTCTGTGCAACAAATGATATCAAAGGCCTCTTGGCAAAGGCTTCACTGCTCTGGAGGTTAACGGGGGCTGGGTGCCCCCAGCACTGGGTTTCGCCCCCTGCTCTGCCTAACTGCCCTTTCTGGATGCTGCAGCTTCTTTCGCTGGGACAGGACTACAGCCACAAGAGGGGTCCACTACGGGCAGGGAATGCCGGGGAAGCAGCAGGGAGGGTGTCCCCCTAGACCCTGCTCAGAGCCACCACAGTGTGCTCAGGCTCTCATTCCACAGGCCGCACTGGTGAGTATGAACTCACGCAAGTCTGCAGATGGATCTGGATGGCGGCCTGCTGCTCCACCCACAGCGTGGGCCAGCTGTTCTTCCTGCCTCTGATTGTCTTTTATTAAAACAGCTGCATCAGCAACAGGCCACAGGAAGGAAATGCGTCACGCCAACTCGCCCCTTCAGCTCAGCCAGCCTTGGCTAGCTGCTGGGAGCTCAGGCTCGTGCTAAGCAGAGTGATGTCACCAATTCCTATGGCTTTAGCTTGGATAGCCACCCAGGAAGCACTTGGATTTGGGAGGAAGACATAACCATTCCTACCCTGTCTATCCCAAACTTTGCTGAGAGTGAATTCAAGGGCCCAGGGCTCAGGCTCTTTCCTGTTAAAGGCAGGATGCGGCCCTTTGATTTCAGAGATGTGAGTGCACTCACGGAGGCAGAGTCTCCTTGGGGTTTCCCAGGACATTCCTTTCTGTGAGGGCACTGGAACATTGGTGCCCAGTTGTCATTCTGAAATTCACCTCACGAACACTGTGTGGTGCTGTGCACGGTGACACAGCCATTGGACTGGACCAGTCTTCCCAATGTCCATTTAGGTCACAATTCTTTGGAGAATTTGATGGACCATGGGCTACATGTTTGCCCCAGAAAACACACGTGTATACACACAATATACAACGCATTTTGCACACGATTTCATAGGGCTCACAGCCCTCTAAGCCTGTTCATGAATCCCATTCATTTCTTCAACAAATATTTACTGAGTGCTCAAGTGTGGCACTCACTGTGCTGGGCACTGGGGATGCAGGACCAAAGAGCAGACGTGCCTGGCCTCCAGAGCTTAGAGCTGAGAATCCTGGGGTCTAGTGGGCCTCAGCCAGGGATGCGACTGTCTCCCCCAGGCTGAGGATGGTGCTGCCCCCTCAGGCTGAATGTGGTACTGCATCCTCCCTAGGCTGACGGAGGTACCGCCCCCTCCAGGATAAGAGTGGTACTACACTAACCCACTTTGAGGACCAAGGTGCACCTGACCCAAGCCACCATATTTTCTACCACCTCATATGCATGTGAAAGCTGGACAATGAATAAGGAAGACCGAAGAAGAATGAATGCCTTTGAATTATGGTGTTGGTGAAGAATATTGAATATACCATGGACTGCCAGAAGAACAAACAAATCTGTCTTGGAAGAAGTGCAGCCAGAATGCTTCTTAGAAGCAAGGATGGAGAGACTTCGTCCAACATACTCTGGACATGTTATCAGAAGCAACCAGTCCCTGAGGAGAAGGACACCATGTTTGGTAAAGTAGAGAGTCAGCGAAAAAGAGGAAGACCCTCAACGAGATGCACTGACACAGTGGCTGCAACAAGGGGCTCAAGTATAACAACGATTGTGAGGATGGTGCAGGACTGGGCAGTGTTTCGTTCTGTTGTACATGGGGTCACTATGAGTTGGAACGAGTTCAATGGCACCTAACAACAACAGCACATGCCCTCTGGTTGAGGATGTTACTGCTCCCTCCAGGATAAGAGTGCCACTTCTCTCCAGGATAATGGTGGTACTACTCCACTTCTGGTTGAGGATGGTACTGCCCCCTAGGCTGAAGGTGGTATTTCCCCCGCTCCCTGTGCATTCTGGGCTGTCATAATGACTGGAGATGACACTAGAATTTGTTGGGTTGGGCCAGGACTGCTAAATGACCTACAATATACAGGACAGAGAACCGCCCATCCCAAATACCAATAGCACCCCACTGAGAAACACTGACATTCCTAGAAACTGACGAGCAGACAAGGGGTCCCCTCCGCAGCAAGGATGGTGCAAGTAACCAGCAGAGACACTCAGAATGACATATGACTGGAGGAAGGACAACAGGAAGCGACTGCCTTTGGATTTCAGAAGTTCTTCCAAGTCTTCAAGTTTTCATGGTGCCATTTTGAAGAAGCTCAGAGCCAGAGCCCCAGCAGAAGGTCCAGGGCAGATTTGGGCCATTGGTCCAAGAATTCCAGAAGCCTGGGGCCAGCTCAGGGTGGATGGGAGGTCAGATCCCCCTGGAGGGGCACATGCGGAGGCTGCAGTTCCTACAGCCGGGCAGCTCCAGCCCTCGGGTCACTCTACCAGTCGGAGCTGAAGGAGCTGAGAGGTCCCGGGGGCAGGTGCTGGGGGAGCCTGGGCTGCCTTCCCCAGTGAATTCTACCCTATGCAGGCCTACCAGCCAGCCCACCTGGGGAAGGGAGATGGCCTAGATGGCCTCCCCAGGACCCAGAACACAATGGAAAGCAAAGATTTTGTGGGGAATTCACCCATGCATTATAAACCAATGATGTTGGCTTGGAGTCATCTTTTTAGCCTCAAAACTGACCCATGGATACTGTTTTCAGAATTCTCTCTGATGAATGCCAGACCAAGGGATCCTTAAAGAACTGAAACAGGCACTTTGAACTCAAAAGTATCCTTCCTTTGAAACTTTAATATTTAGAAAAACAACAGAGTTTAAAAACTCCATTATTTAGAGTAGGGTAAATAGGAAAGACATTTCAAATAAATGTTTTCTTTAGGGGTGGAGGGCTATGGTCTTTCTCTCCTTTGGGTACCAGGATAAACACGCTCTGCTGGCTTCCCTTCCCAGTGAAAAATGAGAGGATCAAATACAGTGAATAGTTTTCCATGGACATCTCAGTGTGATGAAGGGATTCTCATAACCAACTAAAATTCTCTCACAGCTGAAATAATATTCCAAATGATGC